CCCTGTCGGCGTGTGGAAAAGGTTTTTCCGTCTGTTCCCTCCTCGGCGAAATTGAGCAACGTCGTAATTGAGTCGAAGGGAAGCCCCTTCCCTTTGATCCCTTCCCCGCCGGGGGGGGGGGGGTCCCGGGGTGGGTCCCGGGGGGGGTCCCGGGATTTTGCGCCGCCCCCCCGGGGAATCCGGGAGCCCAAAAAAGTCCCAAGACGGGCCAAGAGTGCCCAGAGAGGCCACCAAGACGATCCAAGCGGGCGCCGAATCGCCGAATGATCTGTCCAAGACGCCTCGACGGCCTCCAGACGGCCCAATAGGCCTGCGAGACGCTCCAAGAGGCCTCCAGGACCGTTCCCACGAGAGCCCCAAGATGTACAAATCATGGATTGCCCAAGCATTTTTTCAAGGATTGTTTGCGTTTTCGCCTCTTCCGCTTCCCCACGCGCCAAGACGGCCCGAGAGGCTCCTAAGATCGCCCCGACACGGCCCAAGAAGCCTCCGAGAGGGTCTCCAAACGGCCCAAAAGTGCCCCAAGACGGCCCAAGACGCCTCCCAGATTCACAAAAGGTCCCCAAAACGGTTCCAAGAGAACGCCCAGACGGGGGACCCGAACGGACATTTCGAGCCCTCAGCCCCGAGAAGCTCCCAAAAGGCCCTCCAGGAAGCCCACAGAGGCCCCAAGAAGCTCCCGAGAGGCCCCAAAAACTCTCCTAGGAAGCTACAAAACAAACTAGGCAGTTACAAAACAACCGGGTATTCCCTCCTCTTCGACCTTGTCCTCCTCCTCCGCCTGTTCCCCCTCCTCCTCCCCATCGCAGAACGGAGGAGGGACACTTTCCCGAGCGCGGCAAGCGCGCTTTCAACACATCCGACGTCCGACAGCGCCTCGCATCCACCGTCCGATCCGCGAGGGCTGGCGCGCCCAGACGACAGGGTCGTCTCCAGGGTCGGCGGCATCGGCCGTAAGGCCTTCGCAATATTGCCCCTGTAGAGGGACATGCCCGACTTAAAGCTATCAAGCAGAGGCAGCATCGGGGCATCGGATCGGGATAAATCAAGGATCTCCGAGGTCTGGCCGTTCTCTGAGGGAAGTGCCACGCGCTGCGGCCGCCGCAGAGCGCGAAGGAGCTTTCCTGAGAGCTCTCCTGAACGCTCTGGAGCAAGTTATCCCGATCCTAGGCCTCCCTGAGGTGAAAAGGAAACTTATGGGGAATCTTCTTGATAACGGTAGGGGGCTATCAGACGCTAGACAGGGCCACGGAAGGGGACTAGACCGGGGACTGAGCCCGGGACTGAGCGGGATCACGTCTTGTAAAGCGGGCCCACGCCAAATTCACACGTTCTTCGAAGATATCAGCGCCGATGCTGAATTCAACCTCCCAAGAGCTGCAACCCAGGAAGGGGATGGTGAGAACATCGTGCCCCGAGGCATGTGGGCCGACGAGGGGGGGGGGCGCGGCGGCGAATCGAAAGAGGAAAAGGAGGGGCCCACGACGTCTGAGCGAGGGGGCCGAAGTGTCATTCACTGTCCCCAGGTGCGTGGCTGAAGTGTGGTTCTGCGGTCCCCATTGGTGTACACGTTTGTTGCTGTTGTCGTCGTCGTCGTCGTCGTTGTCGTCCTACTCGTGACCTAACCCTCGACCCAGCCCGCGACCCACCCGCGACACGCCCGCGACCCATCCCGCGCCCGCCACCTCACTCTTACCCGCATCTGCGGGGTGCTACACATTTGAAATCCCATGGCACTGGCCTCGAGGATCTTCTGACCCAGGTCAATCCAGACCCGGGTCAGTCGGGCCTTGCAGAATCTTGCAAGATCCTGCACCCAAACCCTGGTCCATACGAAGGATCCTGCAAGGATCCTGCACCCAAACCTGGGTCAAGGCGACCCGGGCCCAGCAGGATCCTGCAAGATCTGGCGCTTTGGCTGACCCCCGCTTGCGTTGACCCCCGTCTCTTGGGCCCCGAAAGCAGGGGCGTGTGCAAGCGCTGGTCGGGCAACGGGCTGGCCGCGCCGGGCGCGAATCGGGGCACGGCGGAACGCGGGATATCGGAGGAGGAGGAGAGGAGGGGGAGGAGGAGGAGGAGGAGGAGGAGGAGGAGGAGGAGGAGGAGGAGAGGAGGAGGAGGAGGAGGAGGAGGAGGAGGAGGAGGAGGAGGAGGAGGGAGGAGGACGAGAATAGGAGGAGGAGGAGGAGGAGGAGGAGGAGGAGGGAGGAGGAGAAGGAGGAAGGCATTGACCCCCGTCTCAAGGCTCCCGAGGCCATGGCATCCTCCGCCCCCCCGTCCTCATCCCCACCCTCGAAGGCCCGCGAGGAAGGGGAGGGGGGGGGGAGGGCCGCGGGCGTGACGGGTGGGCGGGGAGGATCGCGCCCCCACCGGGGACGGGCGGGAGAGGGCGCGGGGGGCGGGGTCAGGACGGAGGAAGATGGGTCCCTGGAGGTTCTCTCCGCCGTTCCCGCCCCTCCCCCCACCAGGAAGTGCCAGCACGAGAGACCCAAGGAGAGAAGAGAGCCGGCCCTGAGAAACGCCAAGGGCCCCCTCCCTCCGTGGCGAAGGAGAGGGCGGGGGAGGGGCAGGGAGATGCTTCTCTCGGCCACTACTCGCAAGTGGCCTGGATCCGCCGTGGGGGACTTACGATGTATTACATCGTGGCAAACGAGGGTTTTGTTGGACGTTTGCGAGTAGGCACTTTGCGAGTAGTGGAACGCGCTCGGTGATTCTCAATGGCCCTCGCCGAAGATAAAAGAACGCGTCCGAGAGATGCCAAGATGCTGGAGAGGAGGACATTGCACGACTTCCCCTGGGGCCGTAGGAGGAGCAGGATGAGGAGGAGGTGGAGGAGGAGGAGCAGGATGAGCAGGAGGAGGATGAGGTGGAGGAGGAGATGGAGGAGGAGGAGGAGGAGGAGGAGGAGGAGGAGGAGGAGGAGAAGGAGGAGGAGGAGGAGGAGGAGGAGGAGGAGGAGGAGGAGGACGGGTCGCCGAAGCCCTTCGGAGAAACCCTCCAGAGGCGATGCGGAAGACCTCGCGCGAGAGGGATCGACGAGTCGATCCGTCGCCCTCGGCGGAGGCCAGCCGGAGCAGCGCGAACGGGTGGCAGTCCGACGGCAGGGTCGGCCGACGGACTGCTGGCCAAGCCCCCGAGGGAGGCCAACGCAGGGGAAACTAGCACAACCTCTTTCTCCTCCTCCTCCTCCTCCTCCTCCTCCTCCTCCGAATGGGCGATGCACTACCGATAGATCGGCGATGTGCCCCCGATAGCAAATCCGAACGCTCCTGAGCGAGATAGGCTGTCAGGCACCTGTCGGCGATGAGTGGGCGACAGGGGTGGATGCATCCCCCTCTGCGCCTCTCCTCCCCTGACTTTTGCCCTGAACAGGTAACGATGCTCCGAACAAAAGGTATACATCGAACCATGTGCTGCGCTGGTACGGCAACGATGCTCCGAACAAGTGTGATACAAAAAGCAAGTGTAATAAAATATGTGTTCGGAGCATCGTTCTTTATCACACCTGTTCGGAGTATCGTTCTCGTTCATCCCACCTGTTAGGAGCATCGTTGCTTCCCCCTCCTAATCACCAGCACCATCACCCGTCTTCCCTTCATCGCCCCCTCGTGCGCGCCCCCACGTGCGCTGGAGCACGCGCGCGCGGGGGGGGGGGGGGGGGGGGGGGGGCACAGATGAGGAGGAGGGAAAACAGGTGGAGGGAGGGAGGGGAGGGCGGGGAGGTGAGGGAGGGGAGGTGAGAGGGACGGGGTGGGAGGGGAGGGGAGGGGAGGGGAGGGAGGGGAGAGATTCTGGATGCTGGATTGGCCTGCCTCCAAAGAGGCAGGTCCGAGGGGACAAGCGGTTGAGGGAGGGAGGGAGGGAAGGCGAGGGGGGAGGAAGGGGAGGAAGGGGAGGCGAGGGAAGGTAAAGAGGGAGGGGGAGGGAGGGGGGGAGAGATGGAGGGAGGGGAAAGAGGTGGAGGAACTGAGGACGCCAGCACTCTCCTCTCGGGTCGGGCGAAAGGGAGGTGGGGTAGCCAAAGGGGGGCTAAGAGCGACTCAGCTCTCGCAGCTCGTGTTCTCAGCGCCTCCCCGCGCCTCCAGGGCGCTGGGGTATCGAGGAAAGCGTCTGCGGGCGAGGCCGAACAGAAACTGCAAGCACCAAAGATCGTAATCCAAACTCTCCCGATCACCCCCTCTTGTCCGACACGATATCCCCTGCGGAAAACGCCGGGTGGCGAGGCCTTGCAAAAACTGCAGGCAGCTGATATCGTAACCCAAACTGCCGATCACCCCCTCTCGTTCGACACGATATTCCATACGCCCCCCCCCCTCCATAACTACCCCACATCCACGCCGCACCGTGTCCTGCGTTTTCGGCCCACTGTTGTCCATCGGTCTTGGGAGGTCGTCTGACGGTCTTCGGTGCCCTTCGGCGCAACAGCCGGATGGTTGCGAACAACAAGGGGCCTGTGATCGAGCACCTCGAGGGAGGAGGGAGAGGGAGGTGGACGAGTTTAAAAGCCCGCCCTTTCGTCTCTGCGTCCCCGATCCCTACCTCCACGCCCACGTTCACACTGTACCTCTGCCGTTAGGTCGGGCGTGTCCCCCTACCGGCAGATGTTGGACGACAAATTAAACATGCTCCATAGATACTCGAACATGCTTCAAAAATAATGGAAACATCGTCCCCAGACTATTGTTTGACTATTTTTACGTATAGGGGCGTGCCCGACTTAAAGGAAAGAGGGAGAGAAAGGTGGATGAATTGACAAGCCCGCCCTTTCTTCTCTACATCCCCGATCCCTACCTTTAGGTCGGGCATGTTCCCCTACAGGCGGATTGTGAACGAAAAATTAGGAATGGGCAAAACAAACTCAACAATGATCAAGAATGCTCAAAGCATCGTCCCCCGACTATTGTCTTACTATGTTTGAAGATCCCTCCTGTAGGGGGATGTGCCCGACTTCCCTCTACCGCGCCGCCTCTCCACACCCTCGGCCGCTCCCTGGCTGGCGCCTCTCTTCGTCGTTGGCCCCCGGGAACGTCGCAAAGGGCACGACCACTTTGGTCTGCGGTAGAAGGATGCGAGGAGGGTGATCCTCCTCCCCCTCCTCCTCCTCCTCCTCCTCAACCTCCTCCTCCTCCTCCTCCTCTTGTTCTTCTTCTTCTTCTTCTTCTTCCTCCTGTTCCTCCTCCTCCTCGTCCTCCTCGCACACGGCCTCGGAGGAAGGGCCAGCCTTACGCAACCCTATCATCGAATTACTGCGCGATCTGAGCTCTGGTAACTCTGGAGGACATCTCCACGGATGGCAGGTCTGCATTGGGGCCTCGGCGCTTATCATACGTGTTTGCAAATAAAACAACTCGCTGGGGGGCTCGCTCCTCATCCGTGTGGCCCAAGGCGAAACTACCCATCTCTGCAGAAGGCCCGGAGATCTCCGGAGACCCCCACGGCCCCTGGAGATGCCTCTGATAATCTCTGGGGGGCTCCCTGGAGTTCCGCGGAGGCCCCGATCGAGGAGAGGGGCATGAAGGAGGAGGAGGAGGAGGAGGAAGAGGAGGAGGAGGAGCGAGAGGGGAAGCGGGAGAATGAAGGGATTGGTGGGGCGATGACGAGGACGCGGGGGGGAGGAGCAGTGGGCGAAGAGGTGTGGGGAACGTGGAACGCGAGGACGACGTAGGGGAGGAGGAGGAGGAGGAGGAGGAGGAGGAGGAGGAGGAGGAGGAGGAGGAGGAGGAGGAGGAGGAGGAGTGAGGAAATGGGGCAAGGAAGTGGATGGGGAGCAGGAAGGGGGATATGGGAAATGGGCAAATTAAGAGGGCGGACGGGGAGGCAGAGAAGGGGAGGAGGGGGAGGAAGGAAAACCAAACCAAACCCATCAAACACATTGATGCCAGAAGACGCCATGCCGCCCCGAGTCCTCTCATCATGTCGCGCACGTAAACTTGTCCCACTCCGACGAGCACGTGGTGCATGGTGAAAACACCACGGGCGCCGGCACAAAAACACGCACGCGGTGTCCAAACGAAGTCACCCCCATCCGCGTTATGAGCACACGGTTGACCCCTCTCCCTCCCTCCTGGCCTGGGCATAGACGGGGGTGGTGCGAGTTGTCAGATGCTTATTTGGTCCTAGATGGTTCCGAAAGACTCCAGATATCCCCAGAGGGCATCCAAGATGTCACTAAATAATTCGCAGTACGTTCCAACACCAAAACAGGATAAACCGCCGATCCGGCGTGTGAGTTTGACAAAGCCTTCGCAAGAGCTTAAGCTCTGATCGGGGGGGGGGGGCAGGGGGTCTCTGCCGGGGAAGGGGGGAGGAGGGGGGGTACGCGGGGGGGACGCGCGACCTCCGTTTTTCCATGTTGCTCCTATTTATCATTACGCGAGGGTCCCAAGAGCCCTGGGGCTCTCCTGTCGGGACTTTCCCAAGACCCCCCTCTCCGGCAATCCTCGGAGCTTTCCCAAGGCCCCCTCCTCTGGACCTCTCAACACACTCTCGAACTGCACCTCCTCACTCTGGCCGGCAGCCCTCACGAAGTCGACGAACTCAGTGGTAAAGTTCAGCCAGTCACCAGAAAAATTATACCAAGAATCGTGAACCTTGCCCTTGAAGAAAATATTGAATATCGTCAGCTCATCGACGTCGCGGTCGCCCTTGACATTTCGAGCAGCTGGCCGTTTGCTCCGGCTCCCACTTGGCAACATCTTCGTCCATTTGTCAGTGCTCAGCTGTTGCGTTCTTTGTGCCACTGACCACTTCAACTTCTTCTGTGCAGTCGTCCAGCGGTCAAGTCGCAGCTCTTCCATTTTTGACTCAGCCTCGCGCGTCGCACGCTTCACCTAGTCTACCCATGGCTCGAGTTCACCATCGGCATGACGATCTGTTTCGATGCGCCGCCTCTGGTGCCCAAGGCTTATGCGAAACATGCGTCTTTGGCATCTCCACAATTTATGCCCCATCGATGTCGTCATCGTCCACGTTGCCGATCCGTACAACACTGTGGGTTTGACAACTGCTTCAAATAGTTTGAGGCGGTCGTGCAGGGAGTACACTCCGGATGTTAGGAGGAGGAGGAGGAAAAAGAGGCGGATGCGGAGGCGGAGGCGGAGGCGGCGGCGGAGGAGGAGGAGGAGGCCATCACTGCTTCTCGCTCCTGAGATTATTCTTCTCCGAGCCGGCGGATGCCGGAGTCTCGGAGGGCCGATTGAGGGACAACGGCGGCTCTCCGGGCAGACCCAGGCCCGCCCAAATAATCAGACTCGCCCTAGTCCCCATACCTAAGATTTGAGCAGGGACCGACGGTCCCGGCATTCCAATAAGCCTGCCTACCACGCAATGTTCGTAGAACCCCAACCTGTTCGAAGGACAAAAACAACGTTCTTAGAACAGAAGTCCGATGTGTTAAACCGAGGCAGTCTCAGACAGAAATGTTTTAAGATCATGTCTAGCAGACCACAGATGGTTCTCAGAAAATTTGTTGGTGGGCCGATCGTCCAGCCAGGACGCCTCGCCACTGCTTGAAGTATGGGCAAGACAAAAACGATGACAGTCTTAGAGACGTGCCCTCAGAAACGGTGACAATCCTTAAGGTCGGCATCGAGGTAAGGTGACGCCAAGCATAGAGATCGAAAGGTGCTTCAAACCGGCAGTCAAAACCACTCCCGATCTCCGAGGCAGACCCCAGGGTTCGCTGGGCCACCCCCGACTTCCTCTTCGGACGATGAGCATCGGAACTCAGGCGACCAATGTCCGGCGGGACCATCCTGGCATCTTGGCAGCGCCCGTGACGAGGCGCAGCCGATGACACAGACAGACAGACAGACAGAAAGGCCCGCATCCCAACCCCTGAGGGCGGTCCTCGCAGAGGAGGGGCGCGCGGGACACGGGACACGCAGTCTCTCACATGGGAAAGACCGTGGCTAACAATGCGCTGACATATGTGGAAGAAACGCTAAGCACACATACATGTGCACTGCACAAGGCTCGATGTGGTCACTGTGTCACCAGTCCTTCCTCTAAAGCACTCCGCATACCATGCTGCATCGCGCAGCGTTGGAAACCACCAAGCGGCACCGAAATGCGCAGGAAACGATAACGAAGACCTCCCCCGAGCACCTCCTCGGCATGGCCCCTCCTCGGGTGCCGCGGCCGCTGGGCGCGCTGCCGGGTCCACATACTTCTCGGGCGCCGGGGTGGGGTGGTCCTCCGGAGCCGGAGGGCGTTTCACTCTGGACTCAGGCGAGCGTGCCTGCGTGGCCTTTCGCCCCTCTCACCGCCCTCCCCCCTCCGTCGCCTTTTCAGACAGCGCTGTGCCGCTGAAGCATGCAAACGAGTCCTGCCTTGCGCGGATTTCTGCATGCCGCGCCTCGCCCCGCCCCCGCCCCTCCGCCATCCGCCCTCCTCCTCCTTCTCCTCCTCGTCCTCCTCTTCCTCCTCCTCCTCCTCCGCCCCTCCTCCTCCTCCTCCTCCTCCTCCTCCTCCTCCTCCTCCTCCTCCTCCTCCTCCTCGGGCGGCACGGCGCGGTCTGTCGCGCAACCGCGCCGCGCCACCACCCACTGATGATCTCCAAGACCGCGAGGGAGATGCAGAGCTCCTCCTCCTCCTCCTCCTCCTGGGCTTCCTCCTCTGATCTCCGCCCTCCCCCCTCCGCCCCCAATCGGAGCCTAGAACAAAGCAGCCTCCAGAGGGGCTCACCCTCGTCCGTGCGCGCTCGTCCTCGACGACGACGGCGGCGGCGACAGCGGCGACGACAAACGACGCCCGACGCCGACGGACGACGGAGGGCGAACCAAAGACGACGACCGGCATACTGGCGACGAAAGGCGGCCGACGAAAGGCGGAACAACCACAAACAGATGACGAACGGAAAACACACGGCAACCGACGAACGGCGGACGACGACCAAAACGACGAAAGCGTCAACCCGCCACCAGGTCTGCCCCGACCAGGCTCAGGTTTCGGTTGCGGCGAGGAGGGGGTAGGGAAAATGGATGCACGGCGAAGAGGAAGAGGCGGAGAGGGAGGACGGGGTGGGAGGAGGAACAGCAGAGATGACGGGGAGGAGCAGGAGGACGACGAGGATTGCTCGACGGAACCAAACATTCACCAGACTAGTTCGGTTCTCAAGGGCGCCCTGCGGCTGGAGAATCTCTGGGACGACCCATGCATTCTGTGCGAGACGTGTGCGATGTGGGGATTCTCAATATCCACCGCCTGGGGGATCCATCCTCGGACCCTTGGGCAAGCGGTGGGTACGGATACATTCCCCCACCCGGCCCGAATACATCCATACCCACCAGACTCACGGTTTTGCTGTATGAGCAAGAAAATGCACACGAGCCGACTCTTGTGGCCTCTGCCGCCAAGGTCCCAGAATGTCGCTCCCCCAGGCGGCGCTTATGGCGAATCGGAACGTGAGCCCCAGATCTCAGGAGATCTCAAGGGATGGGTAGGGGAGACGGAGGAGGAGGAGGAGGAGGAGGCGGAGGAGGGGGGGGAGGGGGAGGAGGAGGAGGAGGAGGAGAGGAGGAGGAGGAGGAGGAGGAGGAGGATGAGGAGGAGGACGAGGAGAGGATGAGGAGGAGGAAGAGGAGGAGGAGGAGGAGGTGCGGGGAGGAGAGTAGGAGGAGGAGGAGAAGGAGGAAGGAAGGGAAGGAGGAGGAGGAGGAGGAGAAGGAGGAGGAGGAGGAGGGGAGGGGGAGGAGGGGGAGGAGGCGGAGGAGGAGGAGGAGGAGGAGGGAGGAGGAGGAGGAGGGTGAGCGGGGGAGGAGGAGAAGGAGGAGGAGGAGGAGGAGGAGGAGGAGGAGGAGGAGGAGGGGGGGGGGAGGAGCGGAGGATGGAGGAGGAGGAGGAGGAGAAGAAGGAGAAGGAGAAGGAGAAGGAGAAGGAAGAGGAGGAGGAGGAGGAGGATGAGGAGGAGGAGGCGGAGGCGGGGGAGGAGGAGGAGGAGGAGGAGGAGGAGGAGGAGAGGAGGAGGAGGAGGAGGAGGTTCTGATCCACGGCCGCAGGAGGAGGAGGAGGAGGAGGAGGAGAAGGCGGAGGCGAAGGAGGAGGAGGCGGAGAAGGAGGAGGAGGAGTAAGAGGAGGGGGAAGAGGAGGAGGAGGGCGAGGATGGGGAGGAGGCGGAGGCGAAGGAGGAGGAGGAAGAGGAGCTTGGGATCCGCGGCCGCAGGAGCCATCGCGCGGCGGTCGGAGGCCGAGCGGCATCACGGAAAGCGAGCGCAGCTGGAGCGCAGGAAAGGCCGAGGAGGGCGGCCGCAGAGGGGGACAGGGAGTGGCCCGATTCAATGCTGGTCGTCGTCGTCGTTGTTGTCGTTAACGTTGTCGTTGTCGTGGTCATTGTCGTCGTCATCCTCCTCCTCCTCCTCCTCATCCTCCTCCTTCTTCCTACAGTGGAGGCATTGACCCGAGGAGCGACAATTAGGGACGAAGCCCCTTGTTTCCCAGCTAAACCAATGATATCTTCACCAAGAGGGGAATGGAACGCATGCAAACCGAAAGAACGGCCGAGCCCCCTTCGAAACGTCAGAGGACCTTATTCAACGCCCCGACTGCAGGCATTCCACGGCACCCCAGAAGTACGGACCCCTCCCTGGGGACCGACTCTTCGTCCCGAGCCGTTCTTGAGGGCTCCGTGGCCTGATGCCTGACAATCGGCGGCCAGCCCGGGGGGAAATGAAAAGGGGTGCGCCTTCTCGGAAGGCTCGGAAGTCCCTCGGCCGTCTGAAAAGTTCTCCAAACCTTCCCCGGAGACCCAAAGGCACCTCTCGGCAGGCCGGGAGGGCTTCGGAGCCATCCCGCCGCCCCCTGAGAAGGCCCTCCCCTTCTCAATGTTCCCCTTCTCGCTTCCCCCCCCCCTCGCTCGCCACCGACCGAGACCAGGGCCCCCAGGAGCCCGAGATCGTGCGGCCACCCCTCGCGCTGCTTGTTGTCTTCCGCAGCGCGAGGATCCCACGGGGCGCCCTCGGCGAGGCGCAGCCTGCCGGGAAAGCGGCCCGAGGCCGGGCCACCGCCGAGGGCCCCCCCCCCGCCACAACCGTGAGCGGGGGGCGGCGGAGGACCTGCCCCCCGGGGGCGTCGCCGAGCCACCGGAGGCCTCGGAGGAGCTTCCCGTTTTCCAACCTCCAAGGCCAGTGCTCTTGCCATTACTGGCGCGCCGCCGCCTCACCCTCACCCGCCCCTTGCTCTCGTGTCCCAGAGACATGTTCTTGCTCGGATTCAGGCTTGCTCGCGGTCAGACTCAGCTCAGACTCGCTCACCCTCAAGCTTACTCGTCTCTCATCTCTCCTCTCGTCGTCCTTCTCCTTCCATCACCTCTCCTCTCCTCTTCTCACCTCTCCCTTAGGTTGTCATCACACTCAGTTCACTTTTACTCAGAAACACTCACACTAAGACTCACACATACTCAGACTTATCCACATTCAGACTCACTCATACTCATACCTACTCATACACAGTCTCACTGCCACTCAGACTCATTCACAATCAGACCCAATCACCTCAGACCCACTCATACCTCACACTCACTCACACTGCGACGAACTCACACACAAATCACTCAAACTCAGGATCACAATACTCGGACACACTCGCACTCAGATTCGCAGAATAATGTAAGGACGTCTCGAGCGAGGCGCTGGTGCCACCGCAAACAAGGGGAGCCGCCAGGGGTGGTCGCACGGGCCCGTTCGCGCCCAGATTTAGGGGATGTCTCAGCCGGTTCGCCTGTTTCGCCCCCCCCCCAGAACCCTTGTTGTCATAGCAGATTGTTGGGATATCCAGGCGCTAGTTTGAGCGCTTGAGCATCTGAGGAGGGAGCCGCCAGGGGTGGTGGTTCCACGCGCCCGTTCGCGCCCAGATGGCGGGGATGTCTCAGGCGGTTTGCCTGCTTCGGCCCTTCCACCCCCCCCCTGCTTTCACAGCAGATTGTGACGTTGTCTCGGGCCAGGCGCTAGTTTCAGCATCCCAGGAGGGAGCCGCCAGGGGCGGTTCCACTGGGCCCGTTCGCGCCCGGCTTGCGGGGATGTCTCAGCCGCTTTGCCTGCTTCGCCCCCCCGAGTTTGTTTACTTCCAGAGCAAAGTGTGAGGATGCCTCGGGCGAGGCGCTGGCTTCGGCACCCCAAGCGGGAGCAGCCAGGGGCAGTTTGTTTTGCACGGGCCTCGCGCCCAGATTGTTGGGATGCCTCGGGCGGTTTGCCCGTGTCGCCTCCCCCATCCCCCCTTTTTGGCTTTCGGATTATGTTGCCCCCATCGTACTTGAAGACCACATCCCAGAAAGAATTTCGAGCACCCAGAAAGCTATCGGAACAGTGTCAAACGAGTATCGCCTCCGAGGGCCCGACGCGTGAAAACTCTTCAGGTTCGGCACCACTTTCCTTGGTGCTCGAAATCCTTTCTGGTGGCCAAGGCTAAAGTAGGCTGGAACATCACAACTTTCGGAACAGATTTGGAGGACGTCTCAAGCCAGGCGCTGGCTTCCACCTTCCCTGATGCGGGGCTCCACGGGCCCGCTCCCGCCCAGAACGTGGGGATGTGCCAGGGCGCTTTGCCGGCTTCGGCCCTCCAGGCCCCCCCAAACTTTCGGAGCAGACTGTGCTGTGCCTAAGGCCTAGGGCGAGGCGCTGGCTTCGGCATCCCAGGGGGCCCCAGATTGCGGGGAGGCCTCATGCGCTTTGTCCGTTTGGTCGCCCCGAGTCTACAGTGGGCGTCCGTCCACAAGAAGCCTTCCACAAGATACCCAACCCTGAGACCCCAGGACGTCCATCGTTTTTGGCGCGGGGACATCACGCGTTCCATGGCAAAGTCATCGAAGCCCAAAAATCCCAGGGCACCCTGGAGGCAAGCAGGGCGTTTCTTGGCATGGGCCTCCACTGCACTGCTTTCAGGGCAGACTGTGAGAACACCTTCGGCGATGCGGGCGCTGGCTTCAGCACCCAAAGGGAAAGCCGCCGGAGGAGGGAGGCCGGCGAAGGAGGAGGAGAGAGGACGGCGGAGGAAGGAGGACGCACGAGGAGGGAGAGGGACGGCCGCGGGGAGGACGGAGGAGGCATGAGGAGGCCGCAGGACGGGGAGTGGAGGGACGGGCTACGTCGGGTTAGGACAGGGGGATGGCGAGGGGGTGAGGGGGAAGGGGGGAGGAAGAGGAGGGATGGGTCACGGCGGGAAATTGGGAAGAGAGGAGGGAGAGGGGAGGGGGCCACCAGAAGGGGGGGGGGGCACCTGCCAGGGAAGAGGGGGGGAGGACGGCGGAGGAGAGAGTACCAGGAGGGAGGAGGGGGAGGGCGCTCGAGGAGGGAGAAGGACGGCCTCCTGGGAGGGGGAAGGCGGACGCGGGAGGAGGGAAAAGGGACAAGGGAGGAAGAGAAGGGATGGAACACGACTAGGAAGACGAGGGCGGCCTGCTCACCGCCTGTCCGTTTGTTACTTGTTGTCGTCGTGGTCAGCGCTGTCCCTCATCATGGCCGCCGCCGTCGTTGTCATCGTGCCCGTCGGCCACTCGGGCTCGGTAACTATCAGAAAACCAGGCGCTCACAGCCGGACGCTCACAGCGGGGCTCACTTGCCAGGGAGTGAGATGCACATGTGGGAACTCAAACAGACGAATAATAATAATGATAATAATAATAAAAAAAAAAATAATAATAATAATGATGATAATAATAATAATAAGACGAATTATAAGTATGATATTACTAGGAATAATAATAAGAAGAAGACAACGAAAAACAATAAGAGGAGGAGGAGGGGGAGGAGGAGGCCGCGCCGATGACTTGTTGTTTTGCTTGCGCTCAGCTTCCAGTGGCGCCTGCCCCGGGGGGCGAGCCGGCGCGGCCCGCCAAGCCTCCCCAGGCCGCCCCGCGCCGTGACAGAAGCAGTGATAACAGCGGCGGATGGCGTTCGCGAACTTTCTCTGCCTCCAAAATCATCGAGCCACTCGGGCCATGGTAATGATAGGATCTGGGATTTCGGAGCACGGCCCCAGATTTAGAAACTCCGTTCTGAATTTACTAAACCAGTTGCTGCGTGTACTAAATGCTGTTCTGTCTTGCTTTGACCAGGAGGCGCAATGTCATAAAACAGCTTCTCGCTTTAGTAAACCATCGCTTTTTCAATAACTTAGATTGCGAGCGCGCGTTCATTCATTACCATGGACTATGCTAGCCGGTGCCAAAAGCCCCTGTCGGGCCCCTGGGCCGCAGCTCGGGACCGTAATTCCCCAATCAGTGCTTGCATTGAAGGGGTCCGGATACTGGAAGATTTGGCGACACTTTCCCGCCGATTTTTGGAGGCCGGCTGGGTTCCCAGGAATTCCCGGTTCCGGGCTCCTGGGCTCCTACCTGGTCATTGGTTCCGGCCCGTTTTCGGTGGGGTCCGGGTTCCCGGGTTCCTGGTCGATTTCCCTATCGATCTCTTGATCGACCCCATTTCAAACCATCCACTGATTGGGGCTTCTCTCTGGTGTACCTCTGGGGAGCCAGCCAAAGAGAACGCCGTATACGTCGGGGGCCCGGGCGGCGCGACCCGCCCGGGTCCTGCGGCTTGCGCATGTCCGCCTCCCCGTGCGCGTACATGCAGGCGTCGCCCCGCGGGCACTCTTTTGTGCTGGGCGCGCCCGTGGGCTGGGGCAGATTGCGGCCTCCCCCCCCTTCCCCCTCCGCCTCCTCTTCCTCCTCGTCCTCCTCCCGTCCGTCCTCCTGCTCCTCTTCCTCCTCTTCCTCGCCCTTCTCCTTTCTTTTCTCCTCCTACTCCTCTTCCGGTTCCTTCTCCTTTACTCCTTCCCTCCTGCTCTACTCCCCTCCTCCTCCACTTTGTCCTCCTCCTCCTGTGGGTCGTCCCGTTTCATCCTCCTCCTCCTCCACCTCCTCCTCCTCCTCCTCCCTCCTCACCTCTCCTCCTCCTCCTCCTCCTCCTCCCTCCTCCTCCCCTCCTCCTCCTCCTCCCCTCTCTACTCCTCCTCCTCCTCCCCCTCCTCCTCCTCCTCCTCCTCCTCCTCCTCCTATCCCTCCTTCCTCCTACTTGTTTTCCTCCTTTTGTTCCTCGTCCTCCTCCACCTCATCCTCCTCCTATTCTGGCTCCTCCTCCTGACTCATCGTCTTCCTCCTCCAACTCTTCCTCATCCTCCGCCTCCTTTGATATTACAAGCAGTTCCTCCCTGTCGCACCCCGAAGCGCGTCGGTAGAGCGGGCGGGGCGCTTCGCCCGAAAACTGTTATCATCTATGATCTTTCAGCTGGAAGATAGCAGCAGCTTCACGGATGGACGGCTGGTCCTTTCCAAAACGCGGTCTTTGCCTCAACGCCGCGCGCATTCGTCTTACATACGTGCAATACTTCACGGATGGAAGGCGGGCGATGTTCAAAATGTGGCTCTCGCATTGCCGATCGCATATTCGTCCTGAGGTTGCACGAATTTCACATATGGGGTACGGTACCTGTTCAACACGTGGCTCTCGCCCTAGCGCCTAGCACATCCGTCTTCGACGAACGCAAGTGTTTCGCAGATGGATGGCGAGCGGTTATCAATTGTGGATTTCGTACTCGTCTTCAAAATTTGCACGAACTTCACGGATTGAAAGCGGTACCGTTTCAAACTCTGGTTCTTGTCTGAACCCGCGCACCTCCAGCTTGAATCCAAGGCAATGTCAAGGTTCCTTCTGGTTTACGTCCCAGAAGTGGCTCCTCGTCACGATGAAGGAGTGTCTGCGCGAAGCCGTTACTTTGATTCGTGGTGTTGAAGTCTCCCCGTGGCGATTGCCTTCAGACGGGGGGGTACCCCCAGCGATAATAACTCCTCATAGGGGCCCTACGGGCAACAAAAAGGGACCTGGAGGCGGGGGGGGCATTGCAACATCGTCCTCCTCCTACTCATCCGTCTCTTTTACCGTTGTTCCTATCCTCCTGCTCCTCCTTTCCCTCCGTTTCCTCCTCCTCCTCCTTTTCCTCCTCGTCATCGTCAGACTCCACTCGTCGCTCCTCGTCAACCTCCTCACTCCCCGCGAGAAGGAGGGCTGTTTTCTCAACCTGCGCGACCTACCTGGATGAGGTGATATCCAGACAGAAGGCGCCCCAAGGCAGTGGGAAACAACCAACTTTTCGTCCTCGACAATTTGCTCAGGTATTCTCGACTAGCCCTGCAAACGGTGCGATGGTGGTTAAATTCGGGGGGGGGGCGTTGATGCTCCTTTCGCGGGTCGCGGGGATCGGGGCCCTGCGGCGCGCGGGCCGTGAGCCACTCCCGGGAACTGGGTGCCTCCCCTTTGCAGCGATGGGAAGGGGCCCCAGAAAGAGCGACGCCTCCCCCCTTGCGGCGATGCCTCCCCTTGGCAGCGACGGGAGCGGGCCCCCATAAAGAGAGAGAACGGGGCGGAGGCCCCGAGGCGCGAAGGGGCTCGGCCCGCGGGGCCCCCGCCAGACGCTGCCAGCGTCGAGGCCCGCCGGCCGCGCCTCGCCAGCCCCGCCCCGCCGCGCAGGCGCCGCCCCCCTCCCGCCGCGCCGCGCCGCGCAGAGAGGAGCCAGGGGGGCGCGGTGCCGAGGCCCCTCCCGTCCTCCTGTTTGGCCCACGGCCGCAGAAAGGGGGGGCCTCTTTTCCCGCCCCAGGCCCCCGCCGCCGCGGCGCACAGAGGGGGGGCGGCCCGGATGCGGGAGCGGGGCGCCCACCCCGCGCGCCGCTGCCGCCACCTCCAGGTTCGCCCGCTCGCACTCGCACCACAATGACGTGCTGGGCGATGCCGTCACCGCGGCGCCAGGCGCGCGCGCGTCCGCGGCCCCCGCTGGCCGCGCCTTGCCGCAGGCCCCCTGCCCGCGGCGGCCTTCCTCTCCTCGAACACCCACGTGGAGCCCCCGGGAGGCCTGCGTCATCTCGTCGAGAGCGTCCCATTTCCGGCCCGCGGCAACCACGTGAATCCTGAGGGACCCGTCGAAGACCGACGTCAAACGCGTTTTACTACTCACAAAGTAGCTGCTCGCACATGGCCGGGATGCGCAGAGGGAAATTCACATGATATTATATCGATGCAAGGGTGGGCTTCTCGGACGTTTGCGAGTAGGCACTTTGCGAGTAGAGGAATGCGCTCAGTGACTAGATGGGGTCCGAGAAGACGGGGCCATAGAACTGCACCGCATCGGCGATGCGTCGGCGATGTGTCGGCGACGTCGGCGGTGCATCGGCGACGTCGGCGTGGAGAAATCGGGCGCCACACCGAGCCGCATCGCCGATGCATCGGCGATGCAGCGCGATCACCCGACCCCATCTCTCGCCATCGCTCGGGCGTCCACTCCCCCGTGTCTTACTCAACTTCGTGCGTGCTTTTTTTGTTCCGAGAGGTGAGCCCAGGTGCTTCTCGGTGGTCCGCGCCGAGAAGCATGCACACGTCCGAACGATGCCAAGATCTACTCAGGCACGAGCGCGCAAATGGCCCCCGCGGCAGTGTCCTGCCGGCCAGTGCGGCCAGCGCTGCAGCACTTCCACACCCTCCTCACCCTCCTCCTCTCCCTCCTCCTCCTCCTCCTCCCCCTCCTCCTCCTCCTCCTCCTCCTCCTTCGACCCCTCTGGCTGCTCCCCTCTCCTTCTCCTCCCTTGTCTCGCTCCTCCCCCTCGTCCCTCTCCCCCTGTTCCGTCCCATCCCCCTCGTTCTCGACCACTGGCTCCTCTTCCTCCCTCCCCCTCGTCGTCGTCGTCATCCTCCTCCTGCTCTCCCAGCCATTTGGGAAGCCAAAGCAGGGTGGTACTCATGGTTTCTCGTTTCTGGTGCTGATCCTCGTCACCCCCCGTCCTCCTCAAACAGTGCCGAAGCCAGGGCAGGCTCCACCTCCTGCTCCCCCTCCTCCCACCCCTCCTCCTCCTCCTCCTCCTCCTCCTCCTCCTCCTCCTCCTCCTCCTCATCCTCATCCTCTTCCTCCTCCTCCTACTTCTCCTCCTCCTCCACCCCACCCCCCTTGGCGGCGCGCACAAAATAGCGGGTGGCGCGAGAGGGGAGTAGCCTCCTGAGAAGCCTGGTGCCGTCTCGAAGAAGGGCCGCAGGACTCCAAGAAGGCTCCTTTGTTCGGGCGTGTAAACTAGTGCGTCCCATGGGGGTGGGACTCCACCTGCTCGAAAAGGAGCCAACAACAGCCAAGATCTACTTCATGGGGGGGGGAGGGGGGGGTGCGAGGGCCCGCGCCGATCGGCAAAACAACGAACATGAAAAACGATCACAATCCGCGCGTCGCCAGTCCATGTCTGCGGCTCCTCGATCTCGGAAGCTGGGGGGGCGCTCCTGGCAACTCCCTGGCGAGGCCGCCTCCCCCCCCCGTGCCATCCCTCTGTGCGAGCCGCCAGCGCCGCTCTCCGCGAGGCGGGGGCTTGCCCATCTATCTTCGCCGACCGGGAGATCGACCCTCGGGGGCCTCAGCACGCAACGGCTGTGGAGACAGCACGTGGCCCCTCCAAGGCCTGGCTACCCTCGGCAAGTTCGTGCCGTGTCGACACCGGTGTTCTCCCCTGACACCGCGGGGATCGCTCAACCATGAACGATGAGGGGTTTCCGAAACGTCAGACCGTCAAATCTGGGGAAAGCAGAAGGAACGGATACCGCGGCTCCCCCGGCCTCTTCCGAGGCGAATCCAGCGGTGGCGACGAGGGCCCCCCAGGAGGCCGGGGTCTTATCTGCAGATGTGTCAGGCCCTACCGCCCAGAATTATCATCCCTGATGCGATGACGGGGACCTCAGTGAGGCCACGTCTTCATCGTGCTACTAGGGTCAGGGGCTCTTTGGCGCTCGATGATCTGAAGATCCTTCAGCATCGACCGAATCTGCGTTGCCGGCGGCGTTCCCCGAGGAACGCCAACGGCGGGGTTTCGCCGCCGAGCGACGCGACGCGGACCTGCCGCCGTACATCTCGAGAGCCCACCGTCTGCCGAAGTCCTCATATAGGATTAGGTCGGGCGTGTACTCCTACAGACGGATTTTGGACGAACAAATGTAAACAACCAAAACGTACTCAAACATAGTTTAAACAAAAATCGTCCCATGACTATATTTCCCAACCGTCCTGTGGTGTTGGGTCCTCGTTTTAACGAGACGGTCCGGCTGCCCTCCCCTCCTCCTCCTCCTCCTCCTCCTCATCCTCCTCCTCCTCCTCCTCATCATCATCATCATCATCATCATCATCATCATCATCATCATCATCATCATCATCATCATCATCACCGTCAGCATCAGCATCAGCAGCATCCTCATCCTCATCCTCATCCTCATCCTCATCCTCATCCTCATCCTCATCCTCATCCTCATCCTCATTATCATCCTCATCCTCATCATCATCATCCTCATCCTCGTCATCGTCATCGTCATCGTCATCGTCATCATCTTCATCATCGTCATCATCGTCATCATCGTCATCATCATCATCATCATCATCACTCGTTTCGAGGCACCCCTCACACGTTGCGTGGCTCCATACGAAACTCGAAGGCCCCTGTGGAAGGGTCCGCATGCGGTTCCCCGCCCATTTCGGCACACCCCTCACACAGTTCGTGGCCCCATAATTAAGGAGCTCCACCGAAGGCCCCAGAGGCAAGGTCCGCATGCGGTT